AATCTCGGCAAAACCACAAGTGAAATCCACCAAAATCACCACAACAGCTCAAACTGAGTAACAATCAAAACCGGAACGAAACCAAAACCAGAGTTTTTGCAAGTCCAATATCAAGTCTAATTCATTCAGGAATTAGGTTTAGGATTTTGATATCATGTATATGATTTCGTATAAAAAAGTATCTCACCAATAATACCAGTAGAATTAAGTAAAAGTACATAAGATATCTAGATCAAGAGAATATTTAAATACTTAAACTATATAATTGTTATAGAAGAACTCGGATTCACTTCTTCTTTTTCTTGGTCTCTCTTAAATTTTCAAAGATGGATTATAACAGCTGCATGTTATTCGTTGGGTATCAGAACTTTTAATAATTTTTTCCCATATTTTGATTCTCTTTTAGCTCATATTTTACTGTGTGAACTCGACATGGTCTGTTTCTCCAGCTCGGAAGGCGCCTGGGTTTGTTGTTTACTTTCTTGTCTAGGTAAATCTGGGTCTGACTTACAAATCGGGTCTAGAACTAGGTAAAACATGCCTTTAACAATAGCCCCTCCGAAGACCCGCATGTCTCGAGTTAGCATTCAACTCGGATGTAGGATTTGACCTGTATGCACTTGAGATCACTGGTTCCTTATGAGATATAGGGTCTGGTTTGAGATCCTGATAGTTTTTATTAATTGCTGATTTGATTGCACAGTTGGTATAAATCCACGATTAGACTTTCCTTTATTGGAAGTCGAACTACTCAAAAATTTTAATCATTACTTTCTTTTGAAGGATTGTTTTTTTTCCCTTGTTTTGCTCCTATTACGTCGTTTCGATGGAAATGGATGTCATTTTCAATTGTTTTAAGTAAATTTCTTTTCGCATTCTTTTGTTTATCTTATTTTTTCTTTTGCTTCGTCTTCCATCTTTTCTTCGTTTTTTATTTCCATGTTCTCTTTTCTTCGATGGTGCGTTTGATCAGGAGAAAATCAAAGAAGATTCCCATTCCTCTATCTCCTCGTTGTTCTTATGGTTCGCTGTCACACAACATTCTCCTGTCTCGCGTTCTTTATCTTCTGACGTTATTCTGTTTTCTGAGAATGTTGGCTCTGCCGGTCCTTCGACTGGTTTGGTTAACTCTCATCCAACTTTTTTGGCTCGGAAACTATCAGTACAATTGAGTCGATTCAAGTGTTGAGAGAGTCACATGATGTTCATGTGGAGACGATTTCCTCCTTTCTTCTGTTGATTGGTTTTCGCTGGCACCTCTTGGTACTTTACATTAATTGTAATCTCGATGAAGGCCTAATTGAAACTAAATAACATTAATGTGGAATATTAGAACGTACAAAACTCTTTTCGTGAGATGGTTATTGGCGATGTCAAATGCGAGTATCATTTTCAATCGCCCAAACAGTAACTCTAATCAAGGTGTGATCCTTTTGATGATTCTATATTTACTACTCTTCTCTCATGTGGAGAATATATGTATTTGCGATAGATTGGAAAATGGTTTCTCTTCTTTTCAGTTCAACGGTGTAATCTCTGACATGGATTATGGAGCTATGGTCGATGACAACATAATCATCATGTTTGCGTTGCATCCAGATTTGAGTGGTAAGGAACTTATCATAATCGCTTTATTTTGGAAACAAACGCCATGAAAATCACCATGGATAGAAGTTTCAATAACCGAGATTGGAGGAACGACTATAATTGTTATTTGGCGATGTTCTTAGAATCATTAAAAAATGGTAGGTTCAATCTTTATTTCTTTCGAGATAATCAATATATTGGATTTTTAGCTGATTGATATCCATTAATCTAAACTGGAGTTTGTCCAATATTATACAACAAAAGAAATTTCAAAGAAAAGTGTGGAATTTCATTGATTGTAAGATTGCGGAAGGTAAGCGCATCAAAAATTCGATTTGAAGAAGAAATTTCAGAGTAAAGCTTCTTCAGTTGTTACTTATACAACTATATTGTATTTTTTTTTTAATTTTGAATTTGAAGTTGGTTGCATCATTTTATTTTCTTTGTAATGTTGCAATTTATGTAAATAAAATAGTTGTTTAAAAAAAACATTAATGTGAAAAAAAAAGCTCGACCAGGGAACATGTATAGGGTGTGATTGGCTATTACTGTAGATGCTCTCCACAGTCATAATTATACTTACAGCCCTATATCTACACCAATCATGATTTTTATTTTTTCTAAAGCTCACAGCCATTTTTTTAATTCTACAACACTTCTTTAAATTTATGTCTTTATAATTGTTCTGCAGAGACAAATACCTACAACTCATATTTAAAGGCTTTTAAAAATTAAAAATCTAAAGCCAAAGCAAAAAAAATCACAGCAATATTTCTACAACCAAAAAATGAAACCACAGCTCTTACCAATCACCCCCATAAACGCGTCAAAATAATATATAAGATGGGTCTTTATTGAGATTACAATTGGGCTTGTTTTAGTGAAAGCGGGTCGACCCGATAGTAATGTACTCCGTCGCTAGTTTCAAAATTTCGCTCGCGTGAAGCTTAGACGAAGGTCTGATTCAAAATCTTGTGAAAAAGTTTTAGTTTGTTCCTCTTTTATTGAATCGAACAAAAAGAATAGGATTGAATTGAATTGTGATCGGAAAGTGAAGAAGAGATGGAGGAGTATCTGCAGTGTATGAAGACTCTCCGGTCTCAAATGACTGGTACAAATCTTCATATTCGCTGAAATTTGATGTGGCGATTGTGGATTTGACTTTGTTTTTGTTGTTGCATGGATTCGTCTGAGAATAGATGTGGAGGATCACGCGGCGAAGGTCTCCGTCGAGGAACAGATGCAGATTACAACAATCGATACCTTGCAGAAAGATCTAGATCATGGTTCGTCTTCTCTCTCTCTCGCAACGCTTTGCGGATTCAGACGTTTCTGTTGGTATGTATGTGATCGACAGCAGTTTTAGGTGAACAGTGTGATGCGAATCGATAGCAGTTTCGTTTGGAATTTCCCTGATTTGAATGTAGCTTATTATTGATGTCTTGGTTTGATGATGATACAGCAATTTACTCGTTATTTCAGTGTTGGTTTGGCTGTGTTGTTATCAACTACTGAGCATATTATAGTAACAGTCCGTTGTTCAAGTTTGGATCTGCGCTTTGTAATCAGCTTCATTGATGATTTTTTGTCATGTTTATATCAGCATTGTCTGAGACAAAGAGACTCAAAGAAGAGACGGATCAGAAGACGAGGACTAAAGGCGAATTATGCTCACAGATACTTGGAAAGCAGAGGAAGATTTCGTCAATGGAATCTGATTCAGCTAATCTTGCACAGGTACTTGACCTCTTCTGTTAGCCATGAATATGAAACTTGTAGAAAAGGTGGAATCATGTATAGGTCTAATTATGCTGTTCGCTGGGTGATCTTGTGTTGTAGAGTCTGGAGCTTATCCTACAGGAACGAGACAGTATATCTGCAAAACTTGTTTTGAAACGGTAACTCAAAGAACTTATCGCTAGGACTGGATTGTGGTTCTGGAATTACTTTACCACTATCAATTCTGTTGTTTCTGATTGCAGTTCTAACTATATAAAGACGGCAGAGGAAGCTAAAACCAAACTAGAGGAGCACAAGGTTTTTTATTTAGTTACCTCCTCTTGGTGTGATATCATGCCATGTCTTGTTTACCAACACATTTACCTTTATTTCGTTCTTATTTTGGCCAGGGCTGGTTTCTTTCCGGTGTGAGCAATGAAACTGGTCAACAAGTGCAGGTTCCTTCTCCTGTGAATCCCATAATATTCCATTACAATAGACTTCCAACATTTGCATAGAAACTGAGTTTAGGAGGTCTCATCCCTTTTTTTTTCCTGTTGGTCCTTGATATTTTAGAAAGAAGAATCAAGGAGAAACCTGATGGAATTATCAGATTCTGCTAGACCAAAGCTTGATCACGCAAAACAGATGAGATCCAAACTTATCCAGGAAAATTCCAAGGTTATTTACTTTAGATCGACTTGTTACCGTTGGTGGGTTTTTGGTTCGGGCACTGTTTGTTTATATATGTTTCTCGAGATTAACTTAGTTACTTCTCCTATTCCGGTATTGACTACACGATTTATCTCTTTGAGTACCTTTCTGAGTTACAAAGTTTCATTTCAGATGATGCTATCAATTGAGAATGTGAAGAACAAGATTAATGATTTCAAGGTAATTACTCTCTGGGATCTTTTCTACCATTTTGATTTGGCATGGGTGCATCAGTTCGATCTTTTGCTCACATCAAGATAAATCCACTGTGTCTTTTTTATATTCAATTATGTCTCATTTTTATTCTGCACCTGATACTGTACTATTTCCTCAACTCGTGAACGATGCAGCCAGAGTTGATGTCATTGGATACTAAGATTCTAGAAGAGGAATACACAGCACTCTTGTCAGATGAATCTGGAGAGGCAGAATATCTACATTCGCTGCAGAGTCAGGCTGAGAAACTGAAGGTGACCATGGGTTTTTAGAGGCTTGATTTTGATTGTTAACTATGTGACGATCATGACCACCTCCACTTGCTGCAGGGGATATCTTACATTACTAAATGCGGTTGTGGAGAGGAATACAGTGTTGGTCTATATTAGGCTAAAGTCATGCTCGCATCATCACCTTTCAGGTATATGAATATGTGAACGCATCGAGAACCAAAACGAAGCTTTCTTTTATGTGCTACTTCTTTGAATCTGTGCTATACCAGAGAGGGTTACTTGTTTAGTTTGTAGAGAGCCTTTTTATGTCTCAAAGTTTGCACGATAAGAGCATTTTCTCTAACATTCCGTTTATATAGATATAAGATAAGAAGCAGCAAGCAATATGAACCATGTTTGTCTTGTCATCACATTCTTGATAACCTTAGATCGTGCAAATCTAAATCTATAGCTGATACACAATGTCAAAAGACTATATAATTTGTGGGTAAAATTGAAAAACTTTGTCAAATAAGAGAAGAAGAAAAAAAGGAATAGAACTGATTTATTTTGTTTCCACAGCAGACAGTAATATAAAGTTTAGAATGGATGGTGAGAGTGAGTGAAACTTGTTCTTCAGCAAGCAAATTCTAAAGTGAACGAAACCTATCACACCATGTTTGGTTTATACAAACTTGATCTAAAACAGCGCTTATCTTCTGAGTAAAATTCATCGATTAGTTCTTTTAATTCAGTCGACAACGTTTATAGATGTAGTGAATGAAATGGCTCAATCACATGTACGTACTCTTACAAAGTGCTCTTACAATGTCAATTTTGTCTGTAAACTCAACAAACGCATACTTCCAGCGAGGTTCCTCGTAAATCTGCAAGCTGCACCTCATCTGTCGCACATAAAATATTGGTAGAGTTATTGGCATTCCATCCCAATTACACCGAGTTCAGCTTTGCGAAATCAAAAATGGAAAATAACTAACTTATTAAAAACAGTTCCCGGTTTGAATTTTTCAAGAAACATATGCAAAATCACATAGGAGAATAACATCTCAAGATCGCTACTCTGTTTAAAAGCTTGCATATTACGGATGTGAAAATTATTGGTCTGTCGAAAAAGCCTGCTCAACTAAAAAATTGCAAGGAAGAAAATGAGGTAGTTGCAATACCTGAAAGTAAGCAGCTTTAGTCAGATAGTTTCAGTAATCAACATCATCCATATCGCCCATGTACTCAGCAACTTGCTCAAGTCTAACATCAAGCATCTTGTGGTTGTCTAAATCACGAACCACACCAGTTTCTCTATCCAAATCTTTCTCAACCAGATTCCCATAGACGCCCTTATGTTTCCCGAATAGAACCAAAACTGGTCCTCCTCGCCTAGGCAGTGCCGTCTCCAGCAGGTCCTGATCAACCCCTTGAACCAACTCTTGCGTCTCATCCATGGTGATATCACAGGTCGTTGGTCCAACAACATCAACAACTTTTCCTTTCTTAAGATACAAGCTTCCACCTTTCAAGTCCTTGCTTACTATCCTCACCTTTATATGACTCCTAAGCCATGATGGCTTCTTCACTCTCCTCTCACCTCTATCATGCACTCTAACTTCATTTCTACTCACTCTCTTTGTTCCTCTGCTTGGTTCACTCACCTTCTTATCTTTCAACTTGTTTAAACACGTTTCTTCTTCCTGTGAACCCAAATCTGCTACCTCACTAGCACCAACTCTCACTTCATCTCCACTTCCAGAGAGCTTCAAAACAAAACAATCATTATCCATTTTCTCCACAATCTTACCCTTTAAACCCATATCTCTACCAGCAACAATCCTCACTTCTTTTCCCACAAAAAGAAGATCTCCATCAAGTATCACGCTATCTTTCACTTTAGCCTTGTTGGGATCAACAACAACCTTAGACGACCTATCAAGATCAAGATCGAAACCTAAACCTTCCTTAGCAGTCCACCTTTTGTACTCCTTAACCTGAACATCTTCTTTAGCGTTCTTACCAATCCCCTTCCCAGGCTTCCACCCATACCCAGCCATCAACGCAGCTCCAAAACCCTCCACAGGAACGCTCTCGAAGTCCTCTAATGTCGGATCATCAGCAAGCGACTCCAGATCTTTCCTCAAACTTTGCATCATAAGCTGCTCTATCGGAGCCACCTTCCGATCTTCACCACTTTCAGCTTCGTCCTGGACTTTCTCACGCAGCTTCAAACCGTACGTTATGTTGACCTGGGAATCGGTTAAAGGAACCTCGGGCTCGAACTCTAGACCCGAACCGGTGTTGGCGGATTGGAGCGGGAGATCGAGATTCTTCATCTTCTTGTGAGGCCTCCATGTGTTCTCGATCGGAGGGATTACGTGTTTGGGAGTGGAATCAGCTAGGGTTTTCGACGGATCGAATTCGGTGACGAACTCTTTGCTGCTACCCTCATCAACGGCGGTGGCTGTGACTTTGGGTTTCGATTTGGAAGGGAGAGAGAAAGAGAGCTTCATGATTGATATCCCTTCTCTCGCAACGACGGTGGGATTCCGCGGAGGTGGTGCCCGTATATTTACATACCACAGATGGGCCTTTGAAGTATTTAGTGGGCCAATGCGCTGACCGACCATGGAGGCAAGTCATTGGTAATGGACGAAATATAAATCATAACTTCAAACACTCCTCTAGTTGTGTTGCAATTTTTGAATCATTTTATTATTTGATTTTTCAGTTTGAGCATTGGTGGTTTATCTTAGAGAATTTTACACTCTAAGACACATTATCACTTTCTAATTTCACTAACAGTCACAAGTTGCTTTAGACACACATTGTCTATGTGTATTGTCTATTAAGCCCTCAGATACACATACACGTACAATGTCTTGGTCTAACTAAACCAAGATACGGTACTCAAAAATCCAAACAACCCACAAAATCAAAAATCCCCAATTCACTCTAACGATGAACCCTAATACGATAATACGGCGATCAAAATAAAAAAACTCCAATCCCACTCGAGCAAGAACCCTAATTTGATTCTCCAACCTCGTCGTCGTGAGTCCTCCTTTTCTGTCTCATCCCATCCCCCTCTTTCTCTCTCATCGTCTTTCTCTCTCTACATCTCGTAAGTCCCCACGAGTCATCTTCGATTCAGAAATCGATTCTCATCTTCGTTTCACATCTTCGATCAAATTAGGGTTCTTGATTATCATTTGGAACCCACGACTATCATCCTCTTCAGCATCGACTTCGATCCTAACACCACTGAATATCATCCTCTTCATGGCCACCGAAGACGAACCGGAGAATCGCCGTCAATCTACTCGTCGAAGAGGTTAGATTTCCAATCAATTTCCGATAAAAGCATGATGCTTTTCAAATCTAATTACGCATATACTTAAGAAACCCAAACCACACATTTGTTTGTTAGGATTTTCGAAATTATTATCTCACAATTTAACAAATTTGTTGGGAGTATAATTGATCTACTCTTTATCTTATCATCGCAGGCAACCCCAAACTGCCCCCACGGTTGTTTGCTACCGACAGATACCCGGAGAACCGTCTCAATATATACTCTCGTCCTGACATACTCACTTTCATCCGTCACGTTTTGAGAGATACACCAGAGTTCGAAGTGATAAGAGCCTCTTGTTTTGGAAAGCTTTTCGACTTACCGTCCCGACAATGCCCTGTTTCTTGCAAGCTCATACACTCACTTCTGTCTAGATAGCTTCTTTGCACTCTCAAGTACACTTTGTGGTCTGCTTTCGGAGGTAAACCCCTAAGATACGGTCTACAAGAGTTTGGAGCTGTGACATGATTACCATGTGGCCATTTCCCCGACGGATATCAGCCTCCTGATGACGAGGATGATAGCGACCCACAGCTGGATCCTATATGGAAGAAGTTGATTGGAAGCAATAAGATGACCACAATTGCCGACTTAGGAGAAAGTCTCCGGAAGCATCGTAGGATGTCTGGTTGGAAGAAAATCCGTCTCGCTTTGATTATGATTGTAGATGGTGTTCTTATCGCTCACAAGCAAACACCCCGACCCACGCTGAGATACGTACAAATGGTGGATCATCTTGACTCTTTTTTCAAGTTTCCCTGGGGTCGAGAGTCATTTCTAAAGACCATAAGGTGTATGAAACCTGAGAGGTCTGCAGACTCTGATGACAAAATGGTCGAATTTCTCAAGCAGGATTCTTATAGATTGCAGGGGTTTCCACTCACACTACAGCTTGTTGCCTTCACTGCGATTCCAATGCTTCAAGCTAAGATTCCTGTCCCAGTTAACAATCTCAAAATCATGGACCTAACAGAAGGCCATATACCAAACCACCTCTCCATCAATATCAACGACATAAAAACAGTTGAAGCGGATCTTAATGTAAGTTAATTCACTATCCTATTGGCTGATAAGTGTTCATTCTCTTTATTCATATTGATCAGATTTTAATACTTATGCCTTCGTTCCCGTTTGTGGTTTCTCAGCTGTTTGTCACGCCTCTGATACCAATAGTATGCCCAGAGCAGGAAACACAACCTGGTTGGGGCGTGTGGAGGGACGAAGCCACTGATGATTGCGTTACACACTTGGAACAACTTATTGCTGAACAAAGTCATTTCGACAAGAGCATGTGGCGTGGTGGGGATACATCTCAGCCTCTTATATCTGTTCCCAAAGTTGTGAAGAAACCTGTTCACCTCAAGCAGACTGTCCCTTGGTCAAGTAAGCTACAACCAAAAAAGAAAATTGTAAAGGAAGCTTCTACCAGGAAACAAAAACGTCTCAGTGCTTACTTCCCCAAAAAGAGTTCTCCCACCTACTCAAACAAGGAGCTTTCCACGATGGTTCTCCAACTCCAACAGAAGGTCTCAATCCTGGAGTCTGAGTCCAAACAATCCGGCAAAATTGTACGGCGAAGTGCTCATCCTTGCAATGGAAAGCGTTACACCTTAAACAACTACCAATTTCCTCGCAAGAAGACCAAAAACAGTGACCATGAAGCATCCAAACATGATACTTCCGAACCTCCTCAAAACAGCCCGGTACGAATTCACATTTACAATGCCTTTTCCAATTTACTTAGTTCCCACATTCTTTCATCTCAACTATTCTTCTCTTCTAATTCAGCTCCAAAAGCACACACATCAAGAAGTCCAACATCCAGACCACTCCCAACAACATCCAGACCACTCCCAACATCCAGACCACCAGGAATGTGTCCAAACAAATCGGAGTCTCGCCCTGTCAACCTCTCCCAACAATGAACAATCCATTACCACTGAACACACCCCATCCGACCACATCCAAGCAGACCACACCTCCGACAACCACATCCCCCCTAACCACATCTCCCTTAACCAACGGCCCGGTGACCACGTTACCTTCAACCATACCTCACCTAACCACAAACCCACTGACTCGAGCTCTATCAACCACGACCCCACAAAACACACCTCAATCCTGCCTCAATCACAGTGCCAGGGACAAACCAGCAGCCCTGATGCTAACAAACTATTCTACATCTCTCCTCAGGAATCTCCTATCACAAACCGCACCTTTGCCACACTCAAATCAGCTGTCTACGATGAGAGTGATCACCCTAACAGCCCACCCTTCCACAGACTTCTTCTCCATGGTCTTACCATTTACGAACCCATACGCCCCGACTCTCAATTCTCACACCCTCCAAAATACGATTCAT